AACATAGATGACTAGGAATCCATACAATATAAATTATATATATTAATGTTAAAAAACAATAAAGTAATACCTGCTCTCATTTCATTCACCTATGTATACATATTATATTTGCAGTTTTACATTCACAGATTTGCATTTTTCCTCTACATCAAACGATCGTTTGTATGGCATCTATATGATACAGTCGTCCGATTTTCATGAAATTTGACACAAAATTTAAGACTTATATAAAATGGCTATACCTCAAATTTGATGAAAATCAGCTGAAAACTGAAAAAGTTATAAATTTAATTGTATTAATTTCTCGATCGTTCCTATGGGAGCTATATGATATAGTAGTCCGATATTAAAATTTTATACAAAATTGTAGAGTATAGTAAAATGGCTATATCTCAAATTTAAGCCAATTCTATTGAAAACTGAAAAAGTTAAAATTTTTGTTGTAAAAATTTTCCGATCATTCCTATGGCAGCTATAGGATATAGTCGTCCGATCCGGCCCATTCCGACATATATACGAGTGAGAGTATATAGAAGGCTAACTACAAAGTTTCATTCAGATAGCTTCAAAACTGAGAGACTAGTTTGCGTAGAAACGGACAGACGGACAGATGGACAGAAGGACAGACGGACATGGCTAGATCGACTCGGCTGTTGATCCTGATCAAGAATATATATACTTTATATAGTCGGAGGTGCCTCCTTTACTGCGTTGCAAACTTCTGACTGAAATTATAATACCCTGCAAGGGTATAAAAACAATGAAGTAATACCTGCTTTCATTTCATTCTCCTATACATATTATATTGTCAGTTTTACATTCACAGATTTGCATTTTTGCTCCACATCTAACGATCGTTTGTATGGCACCTATGTGATATAGTCGTCAGATTCATAAATTTGACACAAAATTTAAGACTGATATAAAATGGCTATATCTCAAATTTAATGAAAATCTGCTGAAACTGAAAGCGTTATAATTTTTAATTGTATTCATTTTTTGATCGTTCCTCTGGCAGCTATGTGATTTTGTAGTCCGGTTTTTTTATAACTTTACACAAAATTGTAGATTAAAATAAAATGGCTATATCTCATATTTGATGAAAATCTTGTGAAAACTGAAGAAGTTATATTCTTTAATTTTATTAATTTCTTTTATCTATATATATAAAAATGTTCTGTTTGCGTCTACTTCCTTTATAGACTTGAAAAGTTCTGAACCGTTTAAGCCCAAACTTTTACACAACATGCGTTGAGGTTCCAGTTCGGGTATTGTCTACTTTTGATGTTGATAGCTTATCTGCGTTTGCGAATATATCAATTTTTTTAGCGTTTCCCTCTGACCCTACTGCTGCGCCCTCTACAGGCAGACAGTTGAATCGAAGCATTTCCTGTCAAACATTCAAAACATATTGAAAGAAGAAATTGGAGATTACAATTTTATTTTTTTGTTCAGGTTCAGTTAGAATCGAAGTCATGCCACCCAAGAAGTCGAGTTTGGGTCGTCGTACTCGCAATACAGAAGCAAAAAGACGTAAGATTACGAATATGACTGACGAAGAACGGGCCTCCATCCGAGCGACTGAGCGGCTGAGAGCAATGCAGATGCATAACGCGGAATCAGCAGAAAGACGAGCAGATAGGCTTAAGAAAAACGATTCAGAGTTAGGCAGTCGTGTTCTGCAGCAATCGATTTGATTCACTCTCAAAATACTGAACGCGACAGGGCAAGGGTAGCTGAAGCTTGGATGCTCCAGGAGGAACGGGGAAAACATTCCTCATTACATTGATTCTGGCAACGGTTCGAGCTAACAAGGACATAGCTTTAGCTCTTGCTTCATCTGGAATCGCTGCGACATTGTTACCTGGTGGGAGGACTGCTCATTCAGCGCTGAAGTTGCCGTTGAACATGCAAATCATCGAGACTCCTACGTGCAACATTTCCAGAGCATCTGGCTTGGGAAAAGTATTGCAAAGATGTAAACTCATTGTTTGGGATGAATGCACAATGGCACACAAAAAATCGCTGGAGGCTCTCGATCGATCATTGCGGGATTTGCATGGAGCTGTCCAACCATTCAGGAATGCGTTAATATTGCTCGCAGGGACACCAGCTGACGAGATAAATGCTTGCCTAAATATTCTATATTGTGCCGACGTATATTCAGCCGACGTATTATCACGACAGCTACTGGACACGGGGAACGGAAAACTGCCAGTCAATGAGACGTCGAGAAAAATGGTATTGCCCGAGAATTTCTGTAATTTAGTTACATCGAAGGAAGGACTTATCCAAAAAGTGTTCCCCGATATCCGAATAAATTATAGGAATCACGATTGGCTCAGTGGACGAGGGATTCTCGCTGCCAAGAACAAAGATGTATACCAGCTCAATCATGTAATCCAGTCCAGCATAGAAACTGACGAAATTACATATAAGTCGATAGACCCCGTTGTGGAGGCAGAGGAAGCAGTTAATTACCCTACGGAATTTCTAAACTCACTTGATCTGCCTGGAATGCCACCACACATATTGAAATTAAAAATAGGTGTGCCGATTATCATGCTCCGAAATATAAATCAGTCGAAACTCTGCAACGGTACGCGACTCGCAGTCAAGAAATTGATGAACAACGTATTAGAAGCAACGATAATAACAGGTCCTTTCAAAGGTGAAGATGTCCTCATTCCTAGGATTCCTCTGATCCCAACTGATACACCGTTTCAGTTCAAGAGATTGCAGTTTCCCATTCGTTTGGCGTTCGCAATGACCATTAATAAAGCTCAAGGTCAATCTATGGAGGTGTGTGGTCTAGATTTGGGTGCAGATTGTTTTTCACACGGATAATTATATGTTGCGTGTTCCCGTGTCGGAAAACCAGATAGTCTTTATATTTACGCGGAGAATGGAGAAACGAAAAATATTGCATAACCACAAGTATTACAGAATTAAATGAATTTGAAAATTATTCTTCTTTGTTTGACTTATTTCTTATGCGTGCAACCACCATATGCCACAGAGAAACGTGGCAGGGTACAGCTAGTTTCTTATAAAATGGCTATGTTTCAAATTTGATGAAAATCTGTTGAAAACTGAAAATGTTATACTTTTTAATTGAATTAATTTCTCGATCGTTCCTATGGGAGCTATATGATATAGTCGTCCAATTTTCATAAAATTTAACACAAAATTTTAGAATAATATGAAATGGCTATATCTTAAATTTGATTAAATTCTCTTGAAAACTAAAAATGTTATCGCCACCGCGATTGTCAGTTTTCCTACAACAGCCACCGCCATTCTCATTCCTCTCAAATTTCTCGATCGTTCCAATGGGAGCTATATGATATAGTCGTCCAATTTTCATAAAATTTTACACAAAATTGTAAAATAATATGAAATGGCTATATCTCAAATTTGATCAAATTCTGTTCAAAACTAAAAATGTTATAATTTTTTTTGTAAAAATTTTCCGATCATTTCTATGGCAGCTATATGATATAGTCGTCCGATCCGGCCCGTTCCGACATATAAACGAGTGAGAGTATATAAAAGACTAACTGCAAAGTTTCATTCAGATAGCTTCAAAACTGAGAGACTAGTTTGCGTAGAAACTGACAGACGGACAGACGGACTTGGCTAGATCGACTCGGCTGTTGATCCTGATCAAGAACATATATACTTTATATAGTCGGAGGTGCCTCCTTCACTGCGTTGCAAACTTCTGACTGAAATTATAATACCCTGCAAGGGTATAAAAAGCATTAGCCGCGAATAAATAAAATATACTAGATAAAAATTTAGACCGATAAAAGTATACTTATCTAAAGTACGGTATGGAGTGGGTAAAACTGCGAGCGCGAAAAAGTTAATTTTTTTTAGATGTAACCGCTCATTTCACTATTTCTTTGTTGTGGTCATAGTGGGCAAGTGGGGCAGTGGGCAAGCCTATGTACTCTTTCGGCGTACCCATCGGGTCAGTCCCGGATAAGACCGGCAACCTAAATCCAATGGCATCAAACATGGTCCACGATGTCGACCTGGAATGTTTAATAATCTGTGCCAGGTGCATCGAGATCTCTCAGATCGGCAGAGAGCTGTGGAGCTGTCCCATTTCGTCCTTGCTGGCCTACATCTTCCTAATTTATATTTCTCATCTCTGTATCAGCTCTTCTAAACTTATAAATTAAAATTTTCGGCACATTTTTAATTATATTAACTGTATCAGCTCTTCTGAGCTTCTACACTCATCATTTACGAAAATTTTTTTTATGTCGGGATATATAATTTAAAATACGCAAAGGAACTACAAGTGAGAGCGAGAGGCAAATCGTCGCAAAAAACCTGTTTTATTAAAACTTTTATTCTTTTTGCAAGACGCTCGCAAAATACTAAAAGTGTGCCGTCGGTAATGTCCTAACGCCATAACTTTCTAGTATTTTTAGTTTCGTGTCGCCGTACATGCCTTGAAAACGGTGCTGACGAACTGCCGTTTTCAGTTATTTGCCTCTCGCTCTCTCTCACTGTTTGAAAACGGTGTTTTACTCTCACCATACCGTGCTTAATAAACAAAAATTTTAATTTAAAAATCTTTCAAAGCTTATTATTAATAAATTTTTTTCTTTGTGTTTTGTAATTATTTGTTAAAACTAAAGTGAAAAAAAAAGAAGAAAATCTGATAAAATTGTGCAAAAATGATTTTTAGATTCTTGCGCAGCAAAATGAACAACAATAATATAATAATAATAATATTCCGAGTAAAATAACATAAAACTGTGTTACTGCGTCATAGCACCATTACGGAAATTAAGCTAGCTGTTGCGATATTTGGGAGTTATTGCAAATGCATCTTGTCTAAGAATATTGTAAAATAGGGAAAATTCAGAGTTGAAAATGCAACCCAAGTTGAAACCAGTGCCAAGTCGTGGCATTAGACGTAAAAATATTACGATATTTGTAGCAAGATCTGGTAACATTAAATTCCTTTGCAGAAACCGTCATAAATAATGAGGCGTATGAATAATTTGGTGACTCTTTTTACGGCCGCCAGCGCCTTTTTTTTTGGAAGCTTCATCACAACGATACTCAGTAAAGTGGACAAATGCCCAACACACCGAAGTAGAATTGGAGACAAACTCGAGCCACATCCCGACTTGTTCCTCATCGTTCTGGTGCTGAGTAGCCCACGCAATGTGGACCATAGAAACACTATGCGGAGGACCTGGCTCCGACATGTCAAGCAGCCACTTGTACTACCATATTTCCCAGAAGAACAGATCTATCTTCCTACCTACCACGCCACTGGCCATTTAATGGCGGAACGAGTTGAGTCGCAGAAGAAAAGACTACGACAGTATATTACCTGGCAAGCGACCATTTCGAAAAGTTCAAAGAAAACACAGCGAGAGATAAGAGTCAAGCATTTCTTTGCAATTGGAACTGCGCAAATGAGCAGCGGCTTATTGGCGGAACTTCGTCATGAACATATGCAACACAACGACCTCTTACTACTCAAAGCCACCCCGAGACTTACAATAATCTCACACAGAAGCTAATTCAATCTCTAGACACATTAACGCAGCGCTATGCATTTTCATATCTTATGAAGGTGGATGACGACACGTATGTTAAGTTGGATAATTTACTCAATGAGCTGGTCTCCTATGATCGCAAGCTCCTGCGGAATACGGTTAAGTATGGTAACGATCCATTACCCCAACTTTATTGGGGCTATTTTAGTGGTCGGTCAAGAATTAAAACAAAAGGTCGTTGGAAGGAATCTAACTATTATCTTAGCAAAAACTATCTACCATACGCTCTTGGTGGTGGATATGTTCTATCGCGAAAACTGTGTGAATATATAGCAAATAATTCACAAACGCTTTCCACATACGCGTCTGAGGACGTTTCAGTCGGAACATGGTTGGCCCCATTCCGTCACATATATCGATGGCACGATCCTAGATTCGATACCGGTTATATAGCCCGAAAATGTCAATCGTATCACTTGGTTATGCACAAAATAAATCAGGAAATGATGAGCAACATTTACGACGAAAAACTATGCAGTGGCAATAGCGCAGGCACGAATCCGACCTCCTTGCCCGAATATTACTACGATTGGACGAAAGTAGCTGACAAATGTTGCGAAAGCTTAGTAGTATAGCCAGGATATTAATACTAAATAGAAAATATTTTAGCTCTTCTGACCTGTGTTTAATCAACCAGTCGACCCGATCGTCCGTTTCAATAAGGCTCGCCACCACAATGTCCTTAGGGGCAACGATGTAATAGCGATTCTCTTCAATTATGCAGCCCAGATAATAGTCGTTAACTGTATACTCTTCGAAGCCACGAAGAGTTAAGCTATCTGTGCAGATCTCCTCGCTACTGTTCATTTTGTGTTCAATCACACACAGCACGGGCCGTAAAGCTTTAAAATTGGGGCTCTTTTCTTTACGATAGCCAAGTACTACAAGTTGACTTGAGGCCATTGGGGCTAGTCCACAGATATAGAATGAAGTTTGAAATGTTGAGACTGCAATGGATACAATAAATATATATATTCCATTTTATAATGAATTTTACATACCTGGATCTACAATATAGTCGGGAAGACTACTAGATGCAGCCTCGATTGAATTTCTCTTCCGAATAGCACAAATCCTTATAGTGTCTACCCAACCAATAAGAAGAGTATGTTTATTTGACCAGCGCAAGTGGCACCGAAAATTCTCAAGACGCTTTCCCTTCGATGGAAGCTCCCACTTCATCAGCCCCAGCGAGCATTTCTCGTTCAAATCGAACACACGTACTCCTAAATGACTTGCCCAGGCTACAAAGTTATCCTGCCAACAAATAGACAATACTTTGCCTTCAACTGCGCAAAGGTCAATGGGCTTTAGCTTGTTAAGGATATTTCGCTCATATAAAATGAGCTTGTCATCGCCTACAATAAATTTTCTAGTCCGAGACTTCGGATCGGGTTCCAAAGCCACAGCTTTAATGCATTTGCCGAAACTTAGGGTATGATTGTTTTCACAGCTAAACAAGCCTGTAATTTTGACCTGTGATATACATGTTTACATATATGTACATAGATTGATTTTATGATCATTTACTCACTTTTCCGTCATCTGAGCACGTGGCTACATACTCCCCCTTCGGATCCACATCAATCTGATTGACTGCCACCTGATGTGTTAGGCTTTCACCGGTGTTTAGATTCGAATCAATTGAGTTGCCTTGGTGATCTAATAAATAAACGCGGCCTCGGAAAGTTCCAAATATAAGAAACTAAAAATATGTTAACTAGATTTAATTTTCGGTATGTACGTTCCTACCTTTGGGTGCACAGCAGTGGCAGTTACCACATCGGTGTTTAGTATATTTTTTAAATCGTTGGCAATGCGTTGGTACTTAAATTTCGGTTCAATTTCTTCCTCATCTTTATTATCAGTCTCAGAGTCCTTCACTCACAAAAAATTTGGGCATTAAACTACATGAATATAATTTTAGACGGAAACAAGACTTACACAAGTTGGCGAAAATTCGATCATTTTGCAAGTGCATTAATAATTATTAAACAGAAGAGGTTGTAATCGGAGCATTTTTTATTATTATTTTTCAATATTTTAAACTGTATGAACAGCTGATTGATTTAGAAATGCCAACTTGCTTTTATTTTCTCCCTCTTATTATTTTACACTTTAAATGTAGTATTCTTACTGCTGTGTTAACATTTTGTTTTTACATGGTTACTACGTATAACGGGGTACATGGGTTTCACGGTTTCAAAAAATCCACTTTTTTTTTTGGCTAATTTAAGGGGGTAGACCACCATGACATTTTTGGAAAAACTATTATTTTTTATATGCCAATATTCTTACGGTCATTTTTAAACATCGGGCTTAAAAATATCTCAATACTTGTGGTATACCTTAGAGTACTTTCTTTATCTTCTTTTGGGATTTTCTTAAAACTACGTTTTTAAAACGGTGTACATGATTTCTTTAAAACTGCTAGACCGATTCTCTCCAAATTTTTACACAGCTATTCTATAACGTTCTCTAAGGCGTGACGTAGAATTTTTTCGATATGTTTTTTTTTTAATTATGAATTTTTAAAACAAAAATTTCGTTAAATATTGTTTTTTCAAAGTGCTCCCATTTGCTCAAAAAAATTGTTTTCCAAAAACGGCTACGCCATGCTATAGCCATATTTATATAGTTTATAATACATTTTGTTTTTGAATTTCGGATAAAAAATGTGATGTGCAGCATGTACACCATACGACCATTCCCTAAAAAAAAACGCATTTTTTGACTGGCTATATTTCTGCCATTCGTAAATAGTTTTGTTCTTTCAATAAGTATTTTTTAGTTTAACATATGTACTTTGATGTATGTCAAAATGAATTTATTAAAAACGGCCCAATTTTCAGGCGTTCAGGGTGGTCTACCCCCTTAATTCTATAAAATCTCTACAATATTGTCCTAAATTTTCAGATTGACTAATAGTTTCGGAGCTACAGCCTTAAAAAGGTGGACGCTCGAAGTCAGGTATAGGCTGAGCGTGGCAGTTGCTGCTCGTCTATTGTTAGCCAGCGAGACTCGTGAAGCCAGGATTTATCAAGACAGCCAAAGGATGCCCTGGACATTGCAGCTGCAGAAGGTTCTCTTTTTTATGGCTCAGGAATCGACGATTCAATAGACGTTAAACAAACGTATTCCAATTTTATTTTCTTAAAACTTGAAGCGTTTTTCTTAAAACTATGTTTTCAAAATCGGTTGTCAAGATTTCAGCCGAAATTCCAATCTTAAAGCACTTTTACAGAGGTCTGTGAGATATCATTCACTAGGTCTTAAAAGAAGGATTTTTTTTTAATTTTGATCGAAATTTGATTTTTTTTATAAAAACGTCTGCCAAAAATCCAATTTTCATTATTTTTTTTCCTTCGTCTAATACCTAGTTTATTGTCTTTACTAACCTATACAAAAATCGTTTTCAAATTGTTTGAGTGAAACCGCCTGCCTAAGTTTCCTTTAAGCTTGCCTTTCGAAATATAATTCAATTTATTTATCTTGCTTTTAAAATCGAAGCTGCTTAAGTTTTGATCATGCAGCGCTTTACATTTTGTGTTTGTTTTGCTGGAGCAATTCCGTGCGGGACGGACGTCGCTGCACGGCCATACATATTGTATAAGCAGTTTGTAGTGAAACACCCATTTTCAGTTTCCGATATTCACTAATTCAGCCTTGATTAAAAATAAATATATTATTTTAAGAAACTAAAATAGCTAACTTTTGTGTAAATATAATTTGCAATTAAATTTTCTCTCCTCTGTTACATATTAAAATTTTTTCTTATGTATGTTAAATTTCGTTGATTTCCCATAAATAGATTCTTTTTTCACGATACGACTTATTTTTCAAAATTTTTTCTGGACAAATTCTATTGGAAGATAACTGAATGACTCCACCTATCAACATTAACATACGCCGTTTATACTCAATCTTTTCGAAAGATCAAATTCATATATCAGGATAAAAAGAAATTTAAATAACCCAATACCGTCTGCATCTGCCAATAGGTTCTTGGAACTACCGCACCTGTCAGACCACCAACCCCAATCTCAACCAAGGCAATATTAACGCCGCAAAAGAAAGGAACAAAATCAACTAGAAGAAGGTTAGGTTAAGGTTAAACGGTAAGGTCCGCGTGGGAGCCACGCTTAGGCCAATTTGGCCCTTACTTGTCCGGATGTTATTCTATGGACCTGGAGATTTTTAGACGATTTCAACGATAATCAGGGTAAGCAGTTCACCAGGCTGCCTCTGGGAGGCATCTACTAGTGATGCCAGTACTAGGACGCCCAAATATCTTATTCTTTCCTTCTTTAGGGACTAGCAATTGTAGATGGGATGCTCCAAGGTTATTTCAGATTCATCAGATTTCGTATACATTTCTCACAGTGACTTTTGAGACTTTCTACTAACAGTCTGCACTTTTTCTGAGGCAGATGCAGCATGTAGTAGCTGAGTTTATCATTGCGCTCTTTGTACATTATTTTTGATATTATGCCGGTTGTGGAGTTTTTCCTTCATTTGCTTTTTGCCAGCCTTTCTAACTCATTAGAGAGTACTTAGGAAGACGGGGACGTTTATTATTCTGTCACTAGCCAGTCCGAGTCTTTCCTTTGAAAGTTCGTCCTCGGTCTCCTTGCATTCGATGCCCTTGTGGCTGGGACCCCAGTACATCCGCACTGACTTTGTCGTGCTAGGGTTGTCTAGTGCCTTTCTGCTTGCCAGTTCATTTTTGGAATTTACCGCTGACGATTGCATGGATTTTATTGTCGTTGACTGTCTACGAACAAATTGACCTCCTCATAAAGACGGAATTTTGGGGTCAATTCCGAATATGAGATCCGTCTATCCACATTGATATTGCGTCCTACCTTTTCCGCACATCACATATCTCCCTAAGTGTTGATACCATAACCAAACTAAGGGTTGATGGGCAGACTCCAGTGATTATTATGCTTATGGCGTCCACATAAGCTGTTATTTTTAGGACTTTCCTCTGAAATCCGTTTGCGTTTTGAGTATAAATAAGGTGAAGCTTATCGATATGTTATCGTTGCGGTTTACATAGCTACTTTCCAGCTTTTGGCAGGAAGACAATCCAAAAGCTTTTCCATTGGATATCCCTTGCTTTTATCCCCCCAAAGAACTCTATATCATAATGGATTCTTCTAGGAGGTTTTAGATTTTTTTTGGGATGCTCCTCTTCAGTTGCTATGTCCTGGTGTTTGTTAGCAACGGTGACCTCAGTGCAACGTTGGAAGTGAACTTGCCTCTTCGCTGCCCTTAATTGTATCATCTTTTTAAAATATTAGACATTTTTTCCACTACGGTGTTTGGTTCTCTACCGAATTGTCAATTATGCTTGGTACGCCTCTTAAAATTCGTTGGAGAGGGTCTATAGTGACTTTTCTTTGCCTTCCGCGGAACTTACCATGCCCGGACCAGTAGTAACTAATGCTCTTTTGGATGGTGTCTTGCTGCTGCCTAAAGGCTGCCGAAGATTCGTGTGCGATGCATGTTTACTGCATGTTCAATACATTTTTCATATGGCCAAAACGCTCGCTTTGGTTTTACTTGAGCGGAAACCCTGGCTATATAGAGCACTGTGAAAAGGTCTCGGAATGTTGGCCAGAGAAGACACTCGCCTGAGAAAACTTCTGTATCGCACAGAGAAAACCAAAAGCTAGATGAAAAGGAATTTTGCTGCGAAAGGGATCGAACTTGAGCTGCCTTTGAAGATATCGTATCGATCTGTTCCATAAGGTGGGTGGCGCACCTTTCGTTTACAAGATATTAATTTTCGTATTTCGCCTAGGGCAAGATGTCCGCCGCGCCCCCAAAACCAACATAAATTAGCTCTGAAGAAGCGTCGTACTGTTTTCTATAGCGCTTGGACTTGGACTGAGATGGAATTTGCGCTAGTGAATTGCAGGTAGGTAAGTACAAGTGGTTAGGGCCTAGTACCATTCTGAGTCTGTATGGAAGACTAGGATTCCTGATACTTTCAGCTTTCCTATACCTTCCAGTGACTCCAGTTGGTAAGCACCGAAGTGTCGTAGTTCGATATGGTTTAGCACTGGCCAGAAGCATAACAGATGTTCCGTTGTATCTTGCTTTTCAGCTCCTACATATTAAATTATGTGGTAGTCCTGTTTTTATTGGAATCCATGGTGTCAAAGTAAAAACCATTTTTTTTCTAATAATTTTTAAGAACATTATATAATGTTTTTAGCTTCATTTATTTATTATTATTATTTTTTTTTGATTTGCTAACAAAAATTAAAACTGAAAACGAATAATACAAATTTTGTTTTGTTTATTTTGCTTTGTTTTTTTTTAATCATTTTAGACCTTCTTCTTTTACTAAAAATAATCTTATATTACTAAAATCACTTGATTATAAATCTTTTCGCGATTTTAAATGTCCCAGAGAACAGCACAATAAACATTGACAGATTTAAAGTTTTACCGCTACATATAATTGAGGCAAACCCTCCCTGAGTTGTTTTGGTTGGGATTTTGGCATTTTTTACCTATAGTTGTTTTGGGTTTTTGTGTTGCATATTCATAGTAATTGTGTAGTCGCCTACTTGTAACAGCTTCAGATGTAAAACAACTTTAGCCAGAAAAATGTGGCACCTGCCAGGAAGTGTGTGCAATGAATGCTTTTTCAATCTTCTATAAAAAAATCTTAAAATTATTTCGGTTTCAGAGGCAGAATGCCATCATGACTTGATTTTTGCAACGGTGTTTGTTCTAGAGGACGTACTGTGCGTCACTGTAGAGGGATACCTCGCCCTTTACGGTTACTCTGTCCCTGCTCAAATCTGCTCCTTTTTGAGTATGAGGTCGTGAAATCGTTACCGAAGTTTATCTCTGAGGTCATATAACCCATTCTTTCATTTGTTTGTAATTTAATGATTTCCAGCATCTTGATTGATGGCTAAGAGCATGTTTTAGTGGTATTGATACCAAATCCGCAGTTTTTTGCCCATTCGGTCAATGGTTTAAGAGTTTCGAAGCTGGATCCAATCGGAACTGTAGTAAATTCTTACCTGTGTCATTGATTGA